GAGCAGGGAGCCCGATGCAGGACTCGATCCCGGGACCCCAGGATCATGACCTGAGCCGAAGGCAGTCGCTTAACCAACTGAGCCACCCAGGCGCCCTACACTGTCTTTTTAAGGTTTTGATATTAGGATTATTCCAGCCTTATAAAATAAGCTGGAAACGTCTCCTTTATTTCTATACTTTGGAAGAGTTTAAATGATAATAGAACAATCTATTCCATGGAAGTTTGTTAAAACTTTTAAACCATCAGGCCTATTGGCTTTTTTGATGGATAGGGAGTGTACACTTTTTTTTAAGTCTTTTTCAATATATTTTCATGGTCTTTGATCTATTTAAGTTTTCTTCTTTTTTTAGTATATTTTAATTTTGTTATTTTATTGCATTATGAAGTTGTTTGATTTTTCCGTTTCTCCCCGACTACAACCTCCTCTAAAGCAGGGGGTCATAACTAGCATAACACAGTAGGATATGTACACACATACACACATAATAGATCAGATGTTACAGATATATTAGATGTTCTAGATAGATATGTTTATCATGTATCAATCAATACAAGTGATATGTCTTTCATATATCAACATAAGTGATGAGACCAGTAGCATGGAACTGTTCCTCAATGGGCCAATTAGTGTCACGTTATCTCCCTTCCCTAAGCTAACTGTAAGCTCTAGTGAGTGTATTCTCAAACTTAACCCCAAAAGAGAAATGCATATGAACCTGAATGATTCAACCCCAAAGCATCTCCAAGGTGGCACCCAAGAAGAGTACATTATCATATCCCACTGGTGCAAATGTGAACTGTTACAGCCTTTGGGGAAAGGAATCTAGATCTATAAAATTAAAATATATAAACCCTTTGACCTAGCAATTCCATGCCTAGAAATCTATCATAGAGAAATCAAAGCACAAATATATAAAGTTGTAAAGGGAGACATTGCAGTAGTGTTTATAAGGGGGAAAAAAAACAACCCAGAATGAAGCAAATGTCTATCAAAGAAAGAATAATTGAATACATTACAGCAAATCCACACCACGGAATATTATGCAGCAAATAAAGAAAATGACTTAGCTTTATACTACTTGACTTAGAAGGATTTACATGATATAATATTAAATGAAAAAAGCAAGATGCAGAGAAGTACACCCATTTAAATATGGTGTGTGTGTGTGTGTGTATTTTCTGTAGTTTATATGAGCCTGGAAAAAGGTATGGAAGGATATACACCAGACTTTTCATGTTGGTTTCCTGGGAAGAGATAATAAAGAGAGGGAGTGACATTTCAGATTTTTGTAAAACTTTCTTCTCTGTACTATTGTATCAAATTTAAATTTTTTTTAAAGGAGAGTGCATTATGTACTCAAGAAAAACAAAACAAAACAGTTCTTTTCATTGTTTAAAAGAAAAAAACCCCAAACATCCACTTCTACCACAGAGGTCGGTGCACACCCTAATGACCATGTAAGAGCAAGCACCTCTCTGGACACAAGAAGGAAAGTGCGTCTTCAGTGGTGCTTTGTTTCTTCCCATGTCTCACCTGGGCTGCAGTGGCTGCAGTTTGGAGCAGGCGGGACTCTTCCCACAGGCACCGGGCCACGATTCGGGCAATCTCCATTGGCTTCTCCAGATATCTGCTCTGTAAGTTGGAGAGAGAGAATGAAAAGTAGCAGTAGACTAAGGAGACGTGGACCCAGAGTATTACATCTACTACATGAAACAATAAAACGAGGGCCTCAGAGCCTGGCTACCACCAGTGGGAGATGGAGGGGAGAACAGAAAAAAGACAGTCACATGAGCTGTACTTCTGTGACAGAAGGCAATGTTAGTCTGAGTCTTTGGACAGTATGTTATCCTTACATGGAGGTGACAGACCTTGTCCCAGAGTATCCAATTACGGTCAAACATTTAACATTCAAAAATAAGTCATCTGGGGCATCTGGGTGGCTCAGTCAGTTGGGCGTCTGACTCTTGATTTCTGCTCAGGTCATGATCTCAGGGTCGTGAGATCGAGTCCCAAGTCGGGCTCCGTGCTGGGTGTGGAGCCTGCTTAAGATTCTTTCTCTCTCCCTCTGCCCCTTCCACCCCCCTTCCTTTCTAAAAAAATAAAAATAAAAATAGCAAAATAAGTCATCTTCCTATGAAACCACTAGTTCTGATCATGTTATTAACATGCTAACGTAGTATGATTAATGTAACAATTATGTGATTACTCCAGTGGACAAAAGAAGTGGATTTCAGATAATGATGCTCAAGGATGGGTATACAGAGGTTTGAGGAAGGGCTAATAATTTCTCCTTTGATTTAAAGTACAAGATAGGATCTCATTACCTAGGCAAATGAGAAAAGAAATACTTCCTGGACAGAAAGCTAACAGCCTACTCTGCAGGGGCAGTCTCTTCCCACCTGAAGAAATTGCTTGATTCTCCGCAGATTGTGCTGATAGAGAACATTTGACTCCTGTAGGAAACGGCTGTACTGCTGGTCAATCTCACCCAAGAGATTATGAAACACCAAAGTCGCATGTGATTCTTTGCTGGCCGCATATGCCCTAGGAAAAGGAAGAAGGATACAGAACGATCTGAAACCTACATACATCCGCATATGCGCACACGCACGAGTAGAAATCACCATCAAGGAGGGAAGAAAACAAGACAAACCTGATGCTTTAACCCACCCATCACTTTAGATTCACCTTCCTCAGCAATAAGAAATATCATGAATTCAATGATTATTAACAGTTATTCCAGATACTATTAGCCACTGCCACAGTCTATACTTACAAAATATTCAAGTGAAGCGGACAGACATGCTGTTTTGCTTTTAAAGTCTCAGTCAGTTCTGCAGTCAGATTATTAGTAGCAAATAAGCAAACCCAGGCTGGGATGGCCCATCTCCATCATCTCTGACTCACCTCCCTGGCCCCTTACCAAATTCTAGAAAAACTAGGTCATAGACCTGCATTAAATGAAAATTAATAGGTGATCTGAACACATTAAAATGAAGGGAAAAAAGGGGCACTCTTGGTTTCGACTCTTGGTTTCGACTCAGGTCATGATCCCAGGGTTGTGAGATGGAGCCCATGTCAGTTCCAAACTGGGCGTGGAGCCTGCTTAAGATTCTCTCTCTCCCTCTCCCTCTGCCCGTTCCCTGCTCTCTCTCTCTAAGAAAGAAGGGGAAAAAGTGAAGGAAATGGTCCTTGGAATTCTGGGCCATTATCTCCTCTACGAACGAGTCTATTTCTCTTACTCTGTGTCTCCTTCCTTTAATTAAAGGGAAATCAGAATTATGGACCCAAATCTCTACCCATGAGAGAACTCTCATTAAGATAAAAAATATTTGTAGCACATCCCTGGAGTGTGAGAACACACAGAGGATCTCGCCAAGGAAATGAGATCCAAATCAGCCTTCAAAACATCTACCACCGGGGTGCCTGGGTGGCTCAGTCGTTAAGCGTCTGCCTTCGGCTCAGGTCATGATCCCGGGGTCCTGGGATCAATCCCCACATCGGGCTCCCTGCTTGGCGGAAAGCCTGCTTCTCCCTCTCCCATTCCCCCTGCTTGTGTTCCTGCTCTTGCTATTTCTGTCTCTGTCAAAACAAAAACAAATATCTACCGCCAAGCAGGCTGCTGTTCCAAGGTGCCAAAAGACAGCTGCCCGCACACACTTCTAATGTAGAAAGCGTTTTCATGAGACTGAGAGTACCTCTTTATCTCCTGATCTCTTTCACCCCATCACCTATACCCATAAGTTTTTTGATGAAATAGCATAGAGTTAAGCTAGAACAGGTTATGTCTCTTGACTTAAACCAAAACCTGACACTTTGGGGAGTTTCTCAGGAAGGACTTACCAGTCTTGACTCTCAATCCAAGGGGCCAGAAACTGCCGCAGCTCCATCGGGAAGCTGTCACTATACAGCTGATGAAGCTGCTCCAGGTACCGCGTGTCGAGCTGCTGTAGCTGATTCCATTGGGCCATCCTGTGGCAATCGGGGTCCCACCTGCAAACCAAAGTGTCCATATGGTCACTGTGAGCCTTAGTAGGAGGAAACAACCTACAAACACCCCATCTACCCAACACAGGCATCAGGTCTGTGATTAGGGATAAAAGATGCTTTGGACAGGATCCTGCGTGTTTCTCCCAGTTGACAACAATACAGACACATCCACAGTCTCTGCCTCTGGAAGCACATCCCAGCTTCTCCTACACTGGGATGCCAATGTGGGCGTGGCATCTGCCAAGTTCCAGGATCCATTATCTACCAGATGTATGTGAAGTTGAAAAATAACTTCCAGAGTTCCACTTCCTCATCTATAAAACAGAGATCATACCCACCTCTTGTGGCTGTTGAGGTATTTCTAAAGAACTCAGCACAGTACATGGCATACAACAGATGCTCAACAAATGTCAGCTCCTTTCTTTCCACCCTACCCCCCTTCTAAGAGGGTGAACTGGAAGGTATAGATAACAAACCTAAAGTAAGACCAAAAGGTGGGATGTGACTGTTTAGGGAAGACAGAGCTAATTCTAAGAATACAGGTTTAAAAGTATAAGCAAGGACCTGCCTGGGATTCTCCCACTCAATGAAAAGCAATTTTGTTTTTAAAAGTTCTCAGTTGGGGGCACCTGGGTGGCTCAGTCATTAAGCGTCTGCCTTCGGCTCAGGTCATGATCCCAGGGTCTTGGGATTGAGTACTACATCGGGCTCCTTGCTCAGCGGGGAGCCTGCTTCTCCCTTCCCCTCTGCCTCTCTCCCTGCTCGTGCTCCCTCTCTCTCTCAAATAAATAAAATCTAAAAAAACCCAAAAAACAAAAACTATCTTTGTTTATTTTTCTCATCTTAGCTACAACTTGAAGAGCAAGTAAAGAGATTCTGTTCACATTTTGCTTGGTGCCACGTTAACTGAGAAGAATCAACATCTTTATAATAAAAGTCTGCAATCCAGGAATATGATTCATTTCATCACTTTTTACAATATCCCTTCTCATAAAATTTCATAATTTTATTCAAATAGATCTTAAACATTTCTGTTAAGTTTATCACAATGTATTTTTTTACTTTTTTGCTTATTGTGAAATCATTTTTTTCTATTATAATTTCTGACTGGTTAATGCTAATATATGGTTGAAGTTATTAATTTTTGTTTATTTATTAAACCTACCATCTTCCTTAAGTCCCTTATTTTATTAGTAATTATTTTCCAGTTCACTCTCATGACAATTTCCAGATACTTATGTCACCAAAAATTAAGGATAATGTTCTTTTTTCAAATCTCTTCAAAGGGTAGGTGCTTTTAATTTTTGAAAAGTACAGTCAAATTTTGAAAAGTGTGTATTCAATTATGTGGTGAAGTATAGAACAATGAAAAGCATCAATTTTTCCTATATAGCCAGGGTTTTACATGATATGCATAAATTACATTTATAGGTAAAAAATTAAAGAAAAAGGGGGACTGAGGGTCACAACAGCAATCACAACTCATATCTGTACCGCCAGTTTTGTGGTTTTGTTCAGGCACGTAAATGACAATGCACTACAAGACTTTTGAAAACTTTTGTTCAAAAAATGAAGATCCCTGAATGGAGATAAAGTCTCTAAGTTCACATGGTATCTGTCCAAGTTCTCATTTCTGTCTCTCATTTGAAAAAAGGAAAAAAAGAGTTAAGATACAGAGTACTTACTTGTCAATGCACACTTTAATTTTAAGCTGATAATTTAACTCAGGGAATTTGACCAGCAATCTATTTCAAAAAAGGGGAAAAAAAAAGTTTTTGAGTAAAGAAAAAAGTATCAGTTAAAAAAAAAAAAAGTCAGTAGGCTCCCCCAAGCAACTCCTACTTGAAGGAATATAAAATTCACAACACTTCCTTTCTGAAAGGTGAATAAAGCACAATTCCAAATTCCTCTTCCTGCTAGTGCGTCTTTGACCTAAAGTTGAGTATCACCCCTTCAGGCCAAGAGGTACTGAAAGAAAGCCTAAGAACCTCGAACTTGGACAAAGTTGTGAGAGATTCACAAAAGGATAATAAAAGTCGTTTCATGAGAAATATTACGGGAATATGTGCTCTGCAGCTGGTATTCTTTCTGTTAAACCTGAAACCTAACACCAAGTTTCTGAGGGAAATTTCACTGCAGAAGGGCAAACCCCAACATACCTGCTCTGACTTGGGTGTGAAAGTCACACTCTGCCCTGCAAGGCCCACCACCCACCTGCTCCATGGCCTCTTAGCTTCTATATCTCGAAGCCTTACTCTTTCCCTTAAAATCCTTAGGGAAAAGTAGGCTCAAAGAACAGAAAATAACCAGCATTATTTTGCCTCTGTTGCAGGGCAGAAGGAGACACAAAGGCCTAAGACTATAGGGCTGAAATTATAGGAATTTGCCCAGGTAACTTCAAAAAGAGGTAACCATTCCTTGGCTTTTGACAGGAGAAATCAAGGAGCAAGCTGATATTATGCCAACAAATTCCATACACACCATACTACTGCCTGTCATGCCTAGAAAGAACAACCCTGGCCACCTACTCTGCTCTCGTCCTAAGAGCGTCTCTCAATAAAATATCTACCAAAAGAGGAAGCGCGGGGCCCACCTGACTTTGGTAGTGAACTGGACTCCAGTCTTGATGACTAATGGCCGGTCAGGATGCATGGGCATGCAGGGCTGCCGCTCAACCACGAAGGCACTGAAAGCAAAGAGAGGGACAGCAGTCCATACACTTCTCAGAGAACTGGTCTTTGCCCTGTGCCTCTGAAGCGAGGGGATGAGGGAAAGGAACCAGAATTCTAAGTTACCTTTTCATTAAGTTTCTAAACAGCTCTACAATCCTCTCCTCCAGCATTGGCCGGTGCTGTACGATGGGATCCCCTTTGTAGGACACTTTTTGCTGCAACTCCTCCAGTTTCTTAATTTGTTGGCGGGTCTGAAGTTGAGATTCCGCTAATGAGGTTATCCTGCCAATAAATAAGAAAGCCACTAGTTACCTCAGTGAGTGCACACCAGTGAGCTGGAGAAGGGGCAGGGAACACCACAGATGTAAACACCACCATGTAGTCCCCTAAAATAAGAAAGGGGAATTTTTTTTTTTATTGTGATAAAATATACATTATGTAAAACTGATCATTTGTAAGTATATAATTCAGTGGTATTAAATAAGAAAAAGTGGGGGTCGCCTGGCTGGCTCAGTTGGTAGAGCATGTGACTCCTGATCTCGGGGTTGTGAGTTCAAGCCCCACGTTGGGCATAGAGCTTACTAGAAAAATAAAAATAAGAAAAAGGGAGGGTGCCTGGGTGGCTCAGTTGGTTAAGCGACTGCCTTCGGTTCAGGTCATGATCCCGGGGTTCTGGGATCAAGTCCCACTTCGGGCTCCCCCTGCTCTACGGGGAGCCTGCTTCTCCCTCTCCCTCTGCCTGCCACTCCCCCGGCTTGTGCTCTCTCTCTCTCTGCCAAATAAATAAGATCTTTTAAAAAAAAAAAATAAGAAAAAGGGAATCTATTTTGTTTTTTAAAAATAGTCCCTTCCAGAACTTAACATTCAAAGAGAGAGCTAGGCATAGAGGAAAAAGTGTTAAAACTTATACCCCAAAGAAGGGACTGGGTGGCTTAGTTGGTTAAGCATCTGACTTCGGCTCAGGTCATGATCTCAGAGTCCTGGGATGGAGTCTTGCATTGCACTCCCTGATCAGCAGGGAGTCTGCTTCTCCCTCTCTCTCTGCTCCTCACCCCCCCACAAATAAATAAAATCTTAAAAAAAAAAAAAGAATGTATTTTTAAAAAAGCACTTAAAACTGCTTTCAGTGAATTAACAAAATTCAGGGTTAGTGAGGATGTGAACAAATAGGCTTTCTCATGTAGGGCCGTCCTAAATTTCCAATTTCATGCTCTACATGCTGGGTGCCCCTTTATGTCAAGTTTCTTATAGTTTAAGCCGGTGCATCATGGGCATTGGTTGGGCTTTGCACATCAAGGATGCTCACTAAGGACCTGCTGCGTGAATGAAAGCGAAAGAGCAGATAAAGAATGATCCCATTGATGTGAAAATGTAGAGATGACGATCTTTTTTTTTTTTTTAAAGATTAGTTTATTTGAGAGAGAGAGAGAGAGAGTACGCATGCATTGGGGATGAGGGGGGCAGAAGGACGGGGACAAGCAGACTCAGCACTGAGCACACAGCCCAACACGTGGCTTGATCTCATGACCCTGAGATCGGGACCTGAACCGAAATCAAGAGTCAGACGCTTAACCAACTGAGCCACCCAGGCACCCCTAGAGATGACGATCTTTATGTACATATGGACAACAGCCGATGGCTAGAGGGATGGCCATCGAAATTCTAGCTGTAGGGACCTCTGAATGATTGGTTTTTAGAAGACTTTTCTTCTCTTTATTAATTTTCTGTGTATGAACTTTTTTCCCTTATAAAAAGCATGTGTCATTTTAGATTAAAATAACTAAAATTGAAACTTTGGTCTGTGCTACGTAGTTAAACCAAAAACTTTATTTAAATTATTAAATAAAACAGGGGCGCCTGGGTGGCTCAGTCAGTTGGGTGTCCAACTCTTGGTTTCGGCTCAGGTTGTAATCTTGCAGGCTTGGGGCTCTGCACTCAGCACGGAGTCGGCTTCACATTCTCTCTCTCCCTCTCCCTCTGCCATTCCCTCCATGTGCTTGCTCGCTCTCTCTCTCTCTCTCAAATAAATAAAACATATTTAAAATATAGCAACATAAACAAATTTTTATTAAAAAAATGTCCAAATAAAGTAAAACTCTTCAGACTTTAACTCTTAGACTTGTTTTTTCTTAAGATTTTATTTATTTATTTCAGAGAGAGAGAGTGTGAGCGCACACAAGCAGGGGGAGGGGCAGAGGGAGAAGGAGAGACAGAAGCAGACGCCCCACCGAGTAGGGAGCCCAACTCGGGGCTCGATCCCAGGGCCCTGCGATCAGGACCTGAGCCAAAGGCAGACCCTTCACTGACTGAGCCACCCGGGCGCCCCTAGGCTTAATGTGAGTACATCAAAGTCTGCATCTGTGGGATGGGGTCCAACTCCTGAGCCTGCCGTTATGACCGTAATTTTAGCACAGCATTCTAGAAAGAAAGGAAACTCTCCTCCGTCATCTTTTACCAGTTTTCTAGGCGATCTAGGCAGATGTTGGGAGGGCCTCCAATGCACGCAATCTGCTGCCGCCTCTTCCAGTCAGCCAGCTCTTCGTCCGTGAGCATTTTCTGCACATACTCCATCGCTGACAACAGCCCCGCCAACTCACTCACGATGCTCTGGTTGGAAACCCAAACAAAGTCAGAAAACATTTCCTCAGACCGTTTCTAACCACACTCTTTTTTTTTTTTTTTAAAGATTTTATTTATTCATCTGAGAGAGAGAGAATGAGAGAGAGCACATGAGAGGGGGGAGGGTCAGAGGGAGAAGCAGACTCCCCGCCGAGCAGGGAGCCCGATGTGGGACT